TCTTTTACTTTTCAAAGAGAAGAGTGAATTGGGGGGAAGGATGGGCAGTCTCTGTAAACTTTCATTAAAATTAATTAAAAAAATATATATATATGAAAAACCACACTTTTTTTACCCTCATGTGCATTAGTGCCAATGGACAACTAAAGAAATGGGGGCATACAAGCATTGTGTAGTGCATACAGATTAAAAATGTCCTCAGGAATGTTGTAGAACTGATTCCGACTCACCCAGACCCTGTAGAACAGAGTACAATTGCCACATAGCCTTCCTAAGGCTGTAAATCACGAGAGACACAGAGTCCCTCAACTTCCTCCTGGGGAACGGCTGGCTGATGGTTGGAGCCAAGTGCCTTGACCACAGTGCCACCAGCACTCGTAAATATTGTGTACATAAGTATACAAATGTGTGGTATGTCTGTGTATGCATGTACCCACTTACACATTAAAGGTTAGAAATGTTTTCTTTGAGTGTTGATAAAATTTACTTTCTCTCTTCTCTGCTCAAAAACCCACTGGTTAATGAGCATGTATTTCTTTTAAAACCATAGCAAGAAATTATTTTCAGAAAAAACAAATGAACTGATAAACTAAAGGGAAAGATATGGATGAAATTGGATTCTGAAGTTTCTTCCGAACTATGCATTCTGTGATTTGGATTACATTTTTAGAGAAAGTTGTAGAGTAGAGAAGTAGACTTTTACAAGCACAGTTAACACATACCGTATCTATTTAAGAGAGTGCAATTATGAAGGATGTGGCCTGTTTACCCTGAGGCCTCCAAACTGCTTGTGGTGTAGGGAATAGGCAACACGGAAATGCTAGGAGAAGGACATCTCTGTTAATTATACACTGGAAAGTTAGCAGCTGACTTCCTTTGGAGCCCATAGCCTCTAGTGAAGATTTAACTCCTGTAACAATCACTAGTTCCTGTCTGGAACCATAAAAGAAGTTGCTAAGGGTTTGCATATTTTACAAAACAGAGCCTAGGGCTAATGAAGGAGGGACAAAGGCTCTAAAACTATGGTGAAGTGCAAAGCAGTATAATAAGTGCCTGAGTCCTGAGTCAGGTAAAACCCAGGAAATTAGGTGCTGTCTGCTGGGCTCCAACTCCTAGCCAGCCCATCTACACCAGAGTGAACCCTGAGGGGTGGCAGGGGCTTTTCAGGGATTTTTCACACGCAGATTCTCCGGCTCCTCTGAACTCAAAGCCTCAATCTTGAGATTAGTAGCCACCCACTTAATTATTTGCATGTCTCAGGAACAGTAAAGACAATAAATACAGTTCCATAACATCTGTCATCTTCAGTTGAGTGGGAACAGCTGCCCAGGGCAGTGATGAGAAGAGTCTCAGGAGGTACATGAGCTCTGTTGTTATGAGTTAGAACTGACTTAGGGCTGATCCTGTAGCAAATTTTCAAGAAGCTATAAATTGCACAGGAGGAGATTGCCCATCATTTGCCACTGAGCAGCTTGTGGATTCGACCGTTTGTCTTGGACTTGACAGCACAGTTTCTTACCCATTAGATCACCAGAGCTCCTGCCCTGCATGAGTTCTACAAAAAACCAAAGCAAGCCAACAAATGAAAACCGTGGCTGGAGGAAGAGGCTGCCTCTGCCGCACCACTGCAGAACTGCGATGAGAAGATGACTAAACATGATTCTCATCCTGGTGTAGCAACAAAATGATCATCGCCGCTGACCACACAGTGTTTCCCTTGCAGGGAGAGCTGGGAGGACAGCTGGGATTCATTGTGTTCCCCCTGGACGTGCACAGATCATCTCAGATTAGTGGCAGGAATATCTCGTGTATCTCCACATGAAGAACACATGCTTCTCCAGTTCAGACAATGACTGTGAAAGAAATACTTGCTCACATTCCCCCTCCATGAAACAAAGTGTTACTAAGTTGTTTTCTTCGGTTCAGAAAGCTACCCAGGAAAGGAAATTAGTTTAATTCAAGAAACCTCTTTTGAATTTTTTTAAGGAAGGAATCAAAGCCATTTCCCCCTTTCCAGAACATTCCCATACGCGCTTCTCTTTCATGGATATGCACAGATAGAATGCGTGAGATTCTCATGAAGAGAATAGGCAGGGATTGGGAACATGGCCTGTCAGAGGAGATCTGATTTGTAGCTGTGACAGGAGGATTTTGAAGAAACAGCTGAAGCGCCCAAGCAGGGGAGGACAGAATTTGTTCTCACTGTGGAGTCAAATGAAACCACAGGGCAGTTGGGAAGTTCCCTTGGCGCGCCAGTTTGGAAGCTCCCCTGGTGCTCCTGCCCTCTCGGCATCCACTTCCAGATGCCCCCATCGCTCTGCTGAGAAGTGCACAGCCATGTCGGCAGACAGAGCGAGCTGTGAGCAGGCGCTGACTTGAGCCCTCTCTGGGGTGAAATTCTCACGACGTGCTACACTTCCCACAGGGGCGTTTCCGGGTGTCGGTGGCCTGTTGTTAACTGCTGCCAAGTCTCTGCCAACTCGTGATGGCCCCGTGTGTGGGGCGCAGAACTGCTGCATGGGCTTGCCAGGTCGTGGTTTTCCAGAAGCATTACCGACTGGCTTTCTAAGGGGCCCCTCCACTCTCTGAGCTGCCAGCCTTGCAGCTAGGTGGTGGTTGAGGCCTTAACTACATGCACCTCCCCAGGACCAGAGAACTTCGTAGCAGAGATAATTATCACCATTTTGTTTTCAGTCACTCGCTCACTGTTTGCCATTAAATCAGAACAGATTCATTCATAACTAAGCCTCCAGGGGGTTTTCGGAGACTGTAAATCACACCCAGAAGTGTCTTGAGAGGGAAAACTGATGAAATTCTGCAAAGTCAGCCACTGAGAGCTATGGAGCCCACACAGTTTTCCTCTGACATACACAGGCTGCTGGTGCTCTAAGCTGAGGTCAACTTGGCTGTATTTTACTTGTTTGTTCTTTCTCCCTTCCTTCCTTTTTCTTTCTTTTTCAGCTGAGAGCAATAAAACCCCTCAGAATTAGCGTTGGATGAAAGGAAGTTTAATGCCTGTGCCGTGTAAAATTCTGGAAGAACGGGCTATAGTGGTGCCTCTGCTTTGCAAATGTCCTGCAGACTCTGGCTCTTTTCAGCTCACAGTTTGGCTACACTGATGATGCAACCCTGTGCTCCATGGGCAAGGTGGCATCCTCGGCCTGACATGGGGTGGAGGGAGGTGAAAAAGGAAGGGAAAGAGACATGCAATAATCTCCTCTGATAGAAGGTTGCTGGAAGCTGCTGCCCGACAAAGCTGCTCAAATTCTGTGGGTCAGAATTGGGTCACATGAGACACATAGCTGCGAGAAGAGAGGCTCAGGAAGAAAAGGTTTATTCCAGGTGATGGTAAGTTTAGCTCATAGTTAGGGTGTTGTTATGTGCCATCGAGTCGTTTGCGACTCATAGCGACCCTATGTACAACAGCCCTAAACTGCTCTGTCCTGTGTCAATCGCACTGTCTCTGACACTCCCATCCCAATTATCCCAGTCACTGTATCAATCTACCTCATAGTTAGGGTGAGAGTTTCCAAATTGTTGAGGAGCAATGATGTTAATTTGAGGACTAAGGTATGCTTTACTTAGGCCTTTTTAATTATTTGCTGTCCTGCTGAGAGCGGAACAATGAGTAAGGATGATAAAAGAACAATTAAAACTGAGCTGTTGGTGGGTTCGAACTGTAGGAGAAGCTGGGCCTTTGGGTTCTCAGTATAGCTCTCCACCAGGGCTGTTCTGTGCCACCATCAAGCCCATTTCCCAGCTTCCCCTCACCCTTCACAGAACTTCCTCCTCCCCAGTGTCACTGCCCCGCAAAGTCAGAACTGTGTCCGACGGATTCTGACAGAGTGTGAAAGTCCCTTCCTACCTGGGTGGTAACTGATTTAGAATGAATCAAGTTGTCAAACAGCGTACAGGGTATCCCAAGGGCCAACTAACACAAGTGAGGCTGGGTTCTCATTTCACAGAAGCAGAGGGAGAGAAGGGAGAGAGGGCAGCTTGCTCTGACCCCAGGGGCCTAGCGCTGCCCTTTGTAGGAGGACCACACAGCAGCCAGGCCGGGTGCAGGCCAACAGGAAGTGGGGCCTGGGGGCTGGTAAGGAAATGTCTGCACCGCCTTTCAGATGTGCCTGCAGGTCAAGTTCGTTTATTTGTTTTTAATTTAGTTGAAATTATAGACTGGTTGAAAGATTCCTTTGTGGGAGCGATCTTTTTGAACAGCCGCAAACCTTCTGGTCTCTCTTGCCTCCCTCCAATCCCTTCTCCCCTGCGCAGGATTAGAGCACAATTGGGAGGCGCATTCATCTGGCCGGCTTGTCAGGAGGGATCAGCGACTTTTATTAAAGGCCTTGGCCTCGCCTGAAAGGCCTCCTTGTCTGCGAGGGAAATGAGAGGGGCATGCTGAGACCCCAGGACACACCGTGGGGACCCCTGACCGCCCCCCTGGAGCAGGCACAGTCCTTTCCTTTGTGTCCCAGCCCCAGGACGACAGCTGCCCCGTCAGCATGATGTCTCCGGCATGGGGTGGCCCACACGGCCTGCTGGCCCTCTTGCTCCTGCTCCTGCTTGTGGGCTGGGCCAGCCCTACCTTGGTCAGCGTGAACCTCGGGTTGACGGTGACAAAGGGCCGCTCCGCCTTCCTGTCTGGGGACAACCTGAAGTTTGCCATTCCCAAGGAGAAAGATGCCTGCAAAGTGGAAGTCGTGATGAATGAGCCTGTCACCCAGAGGGTTGGGCAGCTCACCCCACAGGTAGGTCAGCACCCCCATTTCCTGTGCAGTCGAAGGTGGGAATGAGGGGTGTGGGTGTGGGCAGGCAGAAGGCCAAAGCTGTTGCCTTGGGCTGGGAGAGGTTGGGTGCTACAAGTTGCATGCTGGCAAATGAAACGATGGTATGAAACGATGGTTTGAAATTAGAGGGCTGAGTATCTGAATATGTGGGGTAAGACTGTTCTTAAACAGCCTTAACTGAACAGGAACAAGGCATTTACTCCTAATTACTCCAACACTCAGTGGAGGAAGACAGATTCACACTAGTGAGGAGACAAGCATTTATCTAAAAACAATAATACCCTCAGTCAACCAGCCCGTGTGACACGTCCTTCCATGAAGAGGGCTCTTCTAAGACCTGTCAGCTGCTTGGTCTGTAGAGCAGCTGATAATCAAGGAAAATACACCCAAAATGAGACACTCAAATACCACATTCTTTAGTTTCTGGTGGTACAATCAGCAGAACTTTGTGCTGCTAACCTGGAGGCCACACCTCTCCGGTGGTTCAAATCCACCAGATGCTCCTTGGGAGAAAGTCAGCAATCTCTTCTCATGTGATGGCCTCAAGAAGCCTTGTCAGAAGATCAATTGCGCATGAGACAGTTCCAACACCGTGGTGCTCAAGGAGAGACTGAGAGACGTAAGGAGTTCTGGTGGCAAGGTGTTTAAGCATTCAGCGGCTAATCAAGAAGTTGGAGGTTGGGACTCTCCAGTGGCTCTGTAGAAGAAAAGATCTGGCTATCTGCTCCCACGAAGGTTACAGTCGTGGACACCCTATGTGAAAGTTATGCTCTATCGAAATAGGTCACTCTGACTTGGGATCAATGGGAAAGCACACAATCCCAGCAACATGAGAAACTTTGGGGTGGGGGAGAAGCAACAAAAAGAACAAACAGGCTCCTTTTCACAGGTAGAGTGGGCAGTCACTGCTGTGCTGTGAGGTGGTCCACCTTTACCGGATCCTACCCCACATTTGTCAAGAAGACAAAGATTCTCACCACTGGACCAATTGGCAGCATCAGGATGGATGGTGAAGAGATTGAAATTGTTCACAGCTTTAGTTTGCTTGGCTCCACAATCACCACTCTTGGCACCAACAGCCAGGAAATTAAAAGACGTGTTGCCATGGGAAAGTCTGCTGTTAGGGACCTCTCTAAAGTACTCAAGAGCAACGGTGTGTCTCTGGAGACAAAGGTGCATCTGGTACAGTCCATGGTCTTTGCAATCACTTGTTATGCATCAGAGAGCTGGACAATGACCAAGGAGGATAGAAGGAGAATTGATGCTTTTGAGCTTTGATGTTGGAGAAGAGTACTGAAGGTGCCCTGGGCTGCTAAGAGAACAAACAGATTCATCCTGGAGAGGGTTAAACCGGGCTGCTCCTTGGAGGCAAGGACTCTGAGCCTTCGCCTGACATACTTTGGTCATGTTGTAAGGAGAGATCGGTCTTTAGAGAGGGACATCATGCTTGGGAGGGTGGAGGACAGGCACAGGAGGTGAAGGCCCTCTGGGAGATGGATTGATTCAGTGACTGGGGCAATCGGGATGAGTGTGTCGGAGGCAATGAGATTGGCACAGGACAGAGCAGAGTTTAAAGCTGCTGTACATACAGGGTCGCTATGAGTCACAAGCGACTCGACGACACATAACAGCAACAACAACAACCCCACATTTGAATTGTGGTGCCGGAGAAGAGTGTTGAACATACACCATGCACTACCAAGAGAACTAACAGGTCTATTCCAGAGAGGGTGAAGCCAAGTTTCTCATTGGTAACTAGGATTTTGAAGCTCCGTCTCACTTACTTTGGGCATGTGGACTGGAGGGACCAGTCCTTGAGAAGGACATTGTGTTTGGAAGAGTAAAGGGTCAGCACAGAAGAGCAAGACCCCAGATGAGAAGGATTGGCACCGTGGCTGCGGTAAATGGGGTCAGGTGTGTCAGAGACAGATTGGCTCAGGATAGGGCAGGATTCAGAGCTATTCAGAGGATTGCTATGAGTCATGGTTGACTTGATGGCACCTAACAACAACTTGAGTAAGAGGAGAGAAGAGGGAAAAGAGATGAGAACATCAAAGCACACTGCCCAGGAATGTGAATTCCGAGTCACAACAATCACCCCTTGGGCTTTCAAAGCTGTTAATCACAGCGGAAAGACACAGCCATCACTGCTCTCCCGTAGAGCTGCTGGTGAATGGAAATTGCACGAAAGTCACAGCCTTTTACTTAAGGGTCCAACACCCTGTAGGCTATGTATCCTTTAAATATTCAGGGCTCTTTAAAAATGCCTGTATGTTCTTACCCCCATTGGTCAAAACCTTTTGACATAGCTACTTAAGAGTATTCTGCAGTGGAGATTTATCCTCTAATTCATTATATTCCAAAAGTGCATTTAAAAAAATTATTATTTTTTAAATGCAACATACATATTTTTTACAGCATATTCTTTCCATTTAGTATTTTTTCCCATTCATTATTACATTTTCCTCCCTGCCCACCCAGCCCCCCAGTTCATTTTTCTCTTTAAAAAAAAATTCTCTAATTGTTATACAATCCTCCCCAGTCCACAGTCCACTTTACTATGCATTTCTTTTTCTGTACTCTTGTGATGAAAATAATACCTGATCCTATATTCCTTTTAAACAGTGCATTTTTATGTATTACATTTGCTTAAAGTAGAAGTTTACTCTAATGTACAATTAGAACTTCCTTCTGATCTCATGACTTGATCCCATTGTGGCTTAAATTTGCCCCTAAATGCAAATACTCTTGAGGATCTGTAATACTGGATGTGGCTGTGCCTTTTGGAAAAAATATACCCTTTTATTTGCTAAATGGTGTACGCTAAATTCCTCTCTGTTTGGCCTAAGTAACACATTCCATGAGGTTATTAAAAAGCCGTGGTAGATATTATAGAGCTGGAATAAATAGACTGGATGGATGCAAGCACAAAATGATACAGCTAGATAGTCCGTGTACTACACTTGGAATCCAGTTCTGAAAGACATCAGAATTCCGTGTGTGTGCGCGCGCGCGCGTGCTCATCTTAGGAATATTCCCAATGTGATAGTAGCCCGATATCTGGCTTTAGTCTACAATGAAATTGTCTTTTATAAAAGCTTCAGATAAGCATCTGAAAGTTGGTAGAAGAATATAACAGAGAGGAGAATGAGTAACATTCGGGGGAGAAGAGAAACAAAACTAGGTATCACTCAATCTTAGGCTGTGGTCCAGTAATATTTAGCTCATGCTTCATGCCCACTGAGACAAACAAAAGCCAGACAAAAGGTTGGCAGTTCAAAACCACTAGCTACTCTATGGAGAAAGATGAGACAGTCTATTTATTTATGTTTTTAGTAGTTTTATTGTTTTGTTGTGTGTGGCAGTATCTCTTAAAGATTTACAGCTTCAGAAACCTGATGAGTCAGAGGAGATTGTTTGGCAGCGGGTTTTAGGAGACAGTGGGGGAGGATCTGTTATCATTTAACCCATCCTTGATGACACAGTCGTTATATCTTGTCTTGTTCTAATTGTTCCTGTCATTACACGTGTATGGATTCTATCTCAACATGAAGAGAACAAAAAGTCTCACAGAACTAGTATATAAAGATAAAATGGAGAAAAGATTGACATTGCCAAGGATTTCGGTTTACTTGGATCCACAATCAATGCTTATCAATGCAGCAGTTGAAAAAGAAAATGATGTATTATATTAGGCAAATCAGCTCCACAGCATCTTCCCTGAAGCAAAGACACCACTTTGAGGTCTGCAGTGCATCCCCAGTGGTGATATTCTCAGTCATCTAATTTTCATGTGAATGTTAGACAATGAATACGAAAGACCAAGGAAGAATTGATGCCTTTGAATTTTGGTTTTGGCAAAGAACATTTAATTTTATTGAAAGACCATGGATTGCAAAATAATAACAACAAAAAAAAGAAACCCAAACAAATCTACCTTGAAAGAAATGTAGTCAGAATCTCAGCAGCAAGGAGTGAGAGACTGTGTCCCACATACTTTGAGCATGTTAGCAGGAGGGGCCAATCCCTAGGGAAGAGCATCACGAGGGTCAGTGAGGGGGTGTAAGACCCTCAACAAGCTTGACACCATCACTGCAACGAGAGGTTGAGGCATAGCTGAGGTTGTGAGGGTGCCGCAGGCTTTAGATCTGCTCCCCGTTGGGTTGCTGTGAGTGGGAACTGATTCAATGACAACACCCTTTGACTTATTCAGAGGCAAAGGGGTACAAAAGTGTGTATGAGTGACTGAAAAGGACCAAAACTTCTGTGGTCACAAATATCAGGGGCTTCCAAGTCATGTCCACTTCAAGCTTTCTCTGATATTTAAGGCAAAGAGCTGGTTAATAGAAAGACAACTTATTACAGAAACAACCCAATGCTGGATAGAGTTCAGCAGCTCTTTTCTGCTAGGAACTGGGGCAGCTTTCTGAATAGGTTCATTGGCCACAAGGTATCCTTTTTTTAAAAAAGAGGATTGTTCCCTGAATACTCAGTATAAACATATATAAGAGGCACGGCTGATTGTTGTTGCTGATTGCCTTCGGGTCAGCATGACTCATAGCGACTCTATGAACAAAATGCTTCAAGCTCCTCTACAACTATTGACATTTATCAAAGTTCATAGGATTTCTGGAGGCATGTTATTTAGGAAGTGGATGGCACTCCTGCTTCCAAAATGGCTGATCAGTACGATTTTATCTTCTAAAATTTATTCCAATTTATTTTGTGATGAAAGAGCCCTTTAAAAAGTAGGGTTCATTGCCTTTTTGTCAACTATTAGAACTTCATGCTATAGTAAAATCTATATATTAGGAAAGATTTGTTAATAGACTTTTATAATTTCAAACAAACTAATAAACAAAAAGAGTCCTGGGTAAAGTCTGCTTGTAGTTTGACTTGGAATTTGTGCTTGCTTTTCACCCAGGCTGATTCAACCCTCTCCAGGCATTCATTTCTTAGGGAATTTTTTAAAAGGGAGCATGACCAAGTGTGTGTATGACTGCGCACACTCACACACACAGCTAAAACATTATTCTGTAATAGAGCTTAATAGGAGGCTGAAAGCAAGGCTTCTGTGAGCCCATCTCTTGTGAGATGATTGTAGTAAGAGCACCCTGCTGTGTAATGAACAGTTTTGTGTGGTTCGCACAGAAAATGTTTTGTTTAACATCTGTTCAATTAGTGGTTTCATTTCATTCCTGAAGTTTGTCTCAGGACCAACAGGTTCATTTTCCTAGTGAATATTAGGAAGGGGACGTCAATGAGGGCACGCCAGTGCCTTCTGTATAGATTTCCCTCTCGATAGGTTGACAAAGGCCTGGTCAGTTTGCTCACATTTTGAGCTTCCTGACATTCAGCACTTTTCACACCTGACCTGAAGCAGGGAGCTGCGTGGGTCAAAAAGGACCCAGCTTAACCCCAGCTTGCTCTTGTGAGCACTGAGAAAATATCTCTAGTTTGAACCAGTTTACTGTCATTAAAGTGAGTAATGAGTTAGGAATGTGTGACAATTTAATTATAAATTGTAATTGAAAAGCAGTTGAAGTGGAAAAAAACAAAGCTAGACAGTAATTAGAAAAGGATTTAGCTCTCCTTTGTTTTAGTTAGTAAATTTATGGACAATTATGGTTGTCGCCTTTTTATAAAAGGAAAACATATTACGAAACATAAAACAGATGTTTCTTTTAACAAAGCAGATTGTCCTTTTATTGCCACGACTATTTGTCAATGATATGGGGGAAGGTCTTTCCTTTATTTCCTTCCTCGTTGTCAATTAGGAGGGGGAACCATTGATGTCTGTGGGAAAAGAAAGCCATTTGTATCAGTGATAAGGTCTTCCCAGAGTGGATTATGTTGTCTGAAAATGTTGGAGACGGTAGCAAGGAACAGACTAGACATCATGAACTAAATACTTGAGGAGATGTGAATTGTAAAGGATATTTCTGAGAACTCCATAAATTCAGATTAGGTCAAATGAGGGCCATGGCAGGCACAGATGATCTGATGACCGGTTCTTCCCATATATACATTGCTCCCGAGAAAACCCTCTGAGGTAGCATCTATTCTGTCCCATGCAATAGCTGTGAGTTAGAACTGACAATACCTTACAACAGTCAGTCTCCTCATGGACAGATATACCACCTTGAAACTTGATGGAGTTGGAAATGAACCAAGGACAATGGGTTTGGGGTTTAACAACAAAAACAATACTATACTTGTTTGAAGGATCGTGCATGCCTTTGCATACATACACACAGGCAGACCTCTAAATCAATACTTACTAACAACTCTTGAAGTGTGTAAGTAAATAGAATCTTGAAAATGGAACCCTATTTTAAGTATACTGAATAGATGACAGATCTTAAAAAACGATACCGTACTGGGAAAGTTAGCAGGTTAGTGAAGGAGAGGAAGACTATCAACCAGATAGACTGGCATGGGGACTGTAACCATGGATGCGAGTGTGGCAGAGATTGGAGGATGGCACATGCTCAGGCAGTGTTCCAGTTTGTTGTTCGTAAGGTCAACATGACTTGTAGACAACTCTGGGGCACAAACAACAACAACAACAACAAAGATGACAAGAAGGAGCTTTGATGGCCTAGTGCGTTTCACTGCTGACTATAAGGCAGTTTGAATCCATCAGTGACTCCTCACAAGAAAGAGGGACCATTTCCTCCTGTTAAGATTTGCAACCACGGGCATGTAAGGGAAGAGCTCTATGAGTTGGAATCAGCTTGACAGCAGTATTTTTTTAAACAGATTGTAAATATGGTTCACGTAGAATATAGTTTTATTTGCCGTTGTTTTGTTCCACCTTTTTATCAGTTGAGGTAGAGATCTGCCTCTGTGAATGTATGCAAGACTGTCCATACATGATCTCTCACATGAACACACTATGTTGTAGTTGTTTGTGTGAGGGAACAAGTATGTCTTTGCATTGCATGCTTTGTTTCCTTGTATTTGAATCCATAGTCAATACTTAAGATGCAACAGTCAAGAAATAAAAAAAAATACATTGCAATGAGTAAGCCAAAGAGCAAGGAGGTCCAAAGAGCAAGGAGGTCACTTTATAGACAAAGGTGCACCTGGCCCAAGCCATGGTATTTACAATTGCAAATTGCAATTGCATATGGACTTTGTGCAATAAATAAGGAAGATTGAGGAAGAATTAATGACTTTGCATTATCGTGTTGTCAAAGAGTACTGAATCTATCATAAACTGCCAAAACCCCAAATGAACCTGTTTTGGAAGTGAAGTCAGAATGCTCTTTAAAAGCAACGATGGTGAGACTTCATCTCACATTGTTGTTGTAAGGTGCTGGCCAGTCAAGTACGACTCATAGTGACCCTATGAACCAAAGAGCTGAATTCTGTTCTGTTCTGTACCATCCTCACACTTTCTGACACACAGGAGCCCATTGCAGCAGTTACTGTGTCAATCCATCTGATTGAGGGTCTTCTTCTTCACTTGGGGCATATTATCAGAAAGGCAGTTCCTGGAGAAGGCCGCCATACTTAGAAAAGTAGAAGGTCAGTGAGAGGGAAGAAGGCCCTCAAGCCAATGGAGTCACACTATGACTGAAACAAGGAGTTTAAGCATAGCAGAGATGTGTGAGGGTGGCAATAGGATACGGCATGTGCTGTTCTGTGAGTGGGACCTGAGACAACATCTAAAACAACAATGTGAACAGGAAGAACGATAATAGCTTAGAAAAGCAATTAGCTCTCAATTTACGTGCTTGATCTCTTTGACATTTCATAATTGAGATGCTATCAAAACAAGACACAACTGTATAAGCAAGCTGGTGAGTAGGATAGGGATAATGGCAAATAATCTTGTACTAATTTTCTCACAGATGCTTACTCGTTTCTCCATGTGAACTAGGTATTTGACTGCCATTTCCTTCCCAATGAAGTGAAGTATGTTCACAATGGCTGCCCAATTCTTGATGAAGACACGGTGAAGCTTAGACTTTACAGGTAACCAACATGGAAGCATTCATTATTCCATCTAATTGTTCTGTGTCCTTCTTAGGGTCTTTTCTGTGGATAGCTGTTGTCTTGGTGACATGACTAGATTCTAAACCGGGATATACTCAGTAAACACTGGAGAACCTGAACATATAGGCCATAAGTTTGCCTGAAGAAGAATTACATATTTTTTTAAATAAAACTTTTATTTTATACTGATTTCTTACAGAGTTCAAATGCATTTTCTGATTTCCTTTACCAACACCTCCCTCTATACATCAAATTGTGCTATCCTATAATTACC